TTTTTTTTTTTTTTGCTGCTGGGTGCAGGAGGGCCTGGGTGGGGAGGTGGATGATGCCAGGAACATGGAGGCTTGACCTAGCACATTCGCTCCCACCATGCCTGCTGAAAAAGCAGGGGAGCTTCACTTCCTGCTTTCTAGGTGACCACAGAATCCGATCCCCCCGATGGTCATGTGACAACTGCATTTGTTCCTGCTTTGTTAGCCCAGAAGGGAGTAGAATCCCCTCCAGCCAGTCCTGGGGACACCATCACCAGGCCTCTTGGGGTTTCAGGTCAACAGTCAAGTCACATAACTTATCTGAGCCTTGGTTCTCCCATCTGTAAAGTGGGGTGCGTTGTAACACAGTGACACCCGCCTTCTCTAGAATTTTACAAATAATGGGAAGCACTCAAGCCCCAAGTGGATGCTGAATTGAGCACCTTTCTTTCTGCCCAGGCATTTGTGCGAGGACCCTTTCATCTTCCTGCATAGCCAGTGCCTCTGGTAGGAAATTCCCATGAACTCTGGTATGGTGGCCATGCAGGTGACCCACCCTTGTCATTGCAAAAAAGAAAAAAAAAAAAAGTTAATAAACATGAGTTATTTTTTTCCCTAAAAGGCATCTCCTATAAAGAATTTGAGTTTTACTAAGTTAGTTTTAGCCTGAATATGTTTGCAAAGTGGGGGCTATTAGGATATCTTCATTGGCTCTCACAAGTGAAAAAGGTGTTATGTGGGACAGTGCTGCACGAAGAGTGGGTGGCAGGTGACATCTCACTGGAAAGACCAGACTGGGTCAAGAATCATACAGGGCAGAGGGCGTGGGGGTGCCTGTAGTGCTGTTGTAGGAGCAGGTGGAGGGGACTTGGAGCTCTGCCCACCTGCTTTGTCGGTGACTCTCCCCACCCCCTCGGAGAGAGGCGCAGCAACGCCCCTGCCCACAGCTCCCACAGTCACAGTGGTGCCTGGCCTGGCCTGAGCCAGCTCAGCTGCACTAGCTGGGCCACCCCGAGCCACGTATCTTAACCTTTCTAGGCCTCTGTTTCCTCTTGTGTAAGGTGGGAGCCTAACAGCTTGCACCTGGGGTTGGGATCACATGGGGTGGTCTGAAAAGCAGTCGTTCTGTGCCTGGCACTAAGTAAGTGCTCAGCGAACGTCGCTGTTGGTATTTGAGTTGAGAAGTATTTCACAGTGATTGTTGCATGCCCACCCATGGGGCAGCCAGCCCTGGATCGGCCTCTGCCTGGGCAAGTGCATCTGTGTCCCAGCCTGGTGCTCAGTGAGTGTTCAGTGAGAGGCCACTGTTCTCAAATAATCAAAGGGGGTTCCACAGCCCATCCCAATACAGCAACCCAGTACATCCCGATGCTACCCTTCAGCCTGGGGACTTGTCAGTCCCCTTCTCCACAAGGCACACTCTCCGAAAACCACTCACAGCCTTGTGGAGCCTTTCCTTGACCCTGCAGACAGAATGAGCTTTCCCCACCCCCCCAAAGTTTATTTATTTTAAGAGCATGAGCTTGAACCCAGGAAGGGTAGAGAGAGGGGAAGAGAAAGAATCCCAAGCAGGTTCCGCATTGCAGAGCCTGATGTGGGACTCGAACCCATGAACTGTGAGATCATGATCTGAGCCGAAATCCAGAGTGGGAGGCTTAACCGACTGAGCCCCCGGGGCACCCCCAGAATGAGCCTTTTCTTTGCTCACCTCCTCCTCCCTGTC